GTGATTACACGGAATACACAAAGGTTTTCCCTCACCATTGTAACGCGCTGCTTTTGCAAGGTTTCGTGAAAATGTTTCAGCTTTTACTATCCTTTTTCGCCCTGAAGAAAATATCACATGTTCAACAAGTTCGTTGAAATTATCCATCCTCGATCACTTTTAGTCAGCTTTGACGAAACTCCTCTCAGCTAGCACGTCTTTTCAAAGTGAAAGTAGCCTTGTCACCTGACCTGAATACAGCGCGCTGATTCGCTAAAATGGACTTATCGGCTTCTGGTCAAAAATAAAAAGGGCACTTGTCGGCTTCTGCAGTAAAACGTGAACTCGCGATGCCTTGAAAGTGGACAAAACCGGCTTTTTTGACAAAACGTGTTTAGGGTTCAGATCGCGCTATATGTGGAGAATAATGCACGGCAATCAGCTCTTTTTTTTTTAAAGTGGCGTTTATCGGTTTTTGCAAATGAACTCTTCATATATATATATATAGTATTTCTTGTATTTATATAATAAAAATTGTATCTAGAACAGGGGTGTCCAAACTCAGTCCAGCTCCAACTTGCATCAACAAACCGGCCTGGATGTTTCTAGTATGCCTAGTAAGACCTTGATTCGCTGGTTCAGGTGTGTTTAATTGGGGTTGGAGCTAAACTCTACAGGACAGTGGCCCTCCAGGAGCAGGATTGGACACCTCTGATTTAGAATGTTCAATGTTCATCCAACAGAGGTTACATTATCTTAATATTTGCATTCTAAAATTGTCATTGGTCTTCTTTCTTCTTTTCCCTCAGTATAGTGTATTACTGTCCATCTCATCATCTTTAGCTTTCTTTGTCCATATTCGGATGTATGACTTTTGGAACTATCATAATACTTCAATACTATTCTTTTTCTGTATTTTAAGCACTGGTTTTCCTTCAGGAAATGCAAGTCTAGTTTATTATGTGGCTTACATTGCACAGCGTCGCAAAGGCACTAAGATGCATTGCAAAATGTTCCCTATGGAGCAAGCTACAAACTGCATCTACATTGTATTACATTTATGCATTGTAAATGTAGTTTTGAATACCCTGACTTGCTCCTTTGAGACTATTTTGCAACCTTAGATTTTGCCACTTAACAACTACAACATTTCCGTTATCAGCTTTAACTATATAAAGTTTTTACATAAAATCCATGTTAAACTCCTTTAAAGACTCAGCATAAGTGTTTATAAGAGACTGCAGACTAAATCACCTGTTCATGTTTTAAGTGTCCAATAAACATTAATCCAATCCAAGACAGTCTAAATGCATAGACAAAACGTCTGTGCACAGCACCACGCTTAAAATGTGTCAGCATGAATCTGCCAAAGTGCCAAGTGAGTCATTGCTGACTTAGGGCAGACCGGTAGGGTGTGGGTGCCACTCATCACATTCATACCAACCTCAGAAGAGTCTTTTATAGTCCCAAGAAAAGCTATGGGAATGTATTTAATCCCTGGAAGGATGATGTGTTAAGAGGTCTGATAAGGAACATATCAACAGCAGGAGTCATCCATCATTGCACTCGTCCACTGAGCCAGAACGCTCTGAGATGGTGGTAGAGAGAGAGAGAGAAGTTTGCTTTCCTTCATACTAACCATTTGTGTCCGCTGGCTCGTTTTTTTATTCTAGTCTCTAGGGTAGCTGAGTGGTAGGATTGCGCTGGGCATTATGGGATTGACAGCAAATCATCAAAAAGATAATAAATGCTCAACTTTGTGTAAAATGCCACACTTGCAACTTTAACTTGACAGCCTGAACTCACACTCTTATCAATCAGGCAGATTGCACAAGTTTGCATTTTTCTGATTATAATGATGCCTACACCATAGAAATGGTTGTAATTTTGTAAAAACTGTAAAAGACTGTGAAAATGCTACTTTAAAAAACAGTTAAGTGGTTAACAGTAAATTCTCTTATTCTATAAGGAATGAAAAACTGAAAGAGTTCTAATGTCACAGCTGTCAGCCTCAATTGTACAGTAAAATACTGTTAAATGTACAGTTTTTGAAAGTGAAACAGAACATTCACTGTTTATTTTATAGACATTCCAAAAAAAGGATTAATCCATAGGGTTTGTCTGGTATTGAGCGGGTTTCTTCTGTGTGAGTGGATACTGCTTGACAACAAAAGTTGCTTAGCCGAAATCCAATAAAATATTGGGTTAGTGCTGTCCTTGGCTTCTGTTCTTTCTTAATGAGATTGAACCCTATTAAAGCAGGATGTGCATTAATTCTCTATTCAAATGCATGAGTGTGAATGTGTGTGCTTGATTAACAGCTTAAGTGGATCTAAGAGAGTGGTACAGGAATCTTTGATGGGATGTCACAATTTTGTCTAAATTCAGGGATGATCTGAGGAAGGAATGGGCTTACAGGCTGAAATGTCTCTCCTTTCTGTAATGATATGGTCCACATCACTCCAGACAGGACATGATGTTGATATTCTCATGGATTTTGCATGAACTGAAGCAGAGAGGCTGGAGTAACTTAGTTATCCCAGCGGACTGATTAAGTGCCATTGTATTTTTTAATGAAACTCTTTGCTCTTATCTGCAGGTGAACACAGCCATGCATGAAGCCAAGCTGGTAGAGGAGTGTGATGAATTGGTGGAGATAATTCGCCAGAGGAAACAGGTCATTGCTGTCAAGATCAAAGAGTCCAAGGTACAGTTTCTCTCTATTTGCACCACTGAGACAGATTAGGGCGGCCCGAATTGTAATTTTAAGTCAGACTCGTATCAAGCACTTGAGACACATTTAGGAAAGTTTTCGATTTGCTTTTCAATTTATAAACTCTTTAAAGTTCCGAGTATAATATCAAGGTGGAAGTTAAAACTCTTTAGCTTCTTTCATTGTCACCTAAAAAATGGAAATTTAATTTACACCATTTACACTCCACATTGTGTGTGTGTGTGTGTGTGTGCACGTTCTTGTGACACATGAGGACACAAATTTGTATAATGACATGGGTATGACATAGGTATTACAAGGAGAAAGTGACTTATGAGGACAT